TATTCGTCGAGGACTAACGCCATGGCCACTCGCGGCACCAACGACTTATCACCACAAGAAACATCGCGACTCGACGCATCCATAAGCCTTCAAGAAAGTCATGAGGTGCCGTCCTGGTATGCGCACAACTCTTTCATCCTTACAGGCTACCGACCCGTCACGAAATCCATCCCTCTCTGCCTGCGCAGCCTACTCCATCTGCATAACGAAACCGTAAATATCTACACGCACCTCATCCCCGGCATCTTCGTCCTGTTAGCCAGCTACTCCTTCGATCGCTACTTCACCACGCGATTTCCTCAAGCGACTTGGACGGATCAACTCGTTTTCCGCATCTTTCTTACCGCCTCCGTAGTCTGCTTTGGGACTTCGGCAGCGTATCATACACTGATATGTCACTCGGAGGGGTATGCAAGCCTGTGGGTTAGGGCAGACTACGTCGCGATTATCGGTCAGATTATAGGGTCATTTATACCTGGCATCTACTTTGGATTCTACTGCGAACCCGGGTTGCAGAAATTATACTGGTCTATGGTATGTTGACAGAACGGCGTGGATGGGATGTTGTATGACTAAACTAACTCTTCCAGATCATCACACTTGGAACGCTGACAGCAACCACGGTTATCAACCCCAGTCTTCACGGCCCCAGATGGAAGACTTTACGCTTATCAACGTTCATCGCAACGGGCTTTTCGGCGTTTGCCCCGATCTTGCATGGCGTTTCAATCTTTGGCCATGAACAGCTTGACAAACAGACTGGGTTACGGTATTATTATCTCGAGGGTATCTTCATACTAATTGGAGTTGGATTCTACGCGGTAAGGCTAGCATGTTCATCGATACGTCTTCTTTATCGAGACCGAGCTTTGGTTGACACATGTGACAGACTCACTTCCCGGAATCTTGGAGACCGAAGAGATACGACATTTGGGGCGCATCACACCAGCTGTTCCATGTCTTTATTGCTCTAAGTGTCATCGCTCATTGGTACGGTATCATGAGCGCTATGGAGTGGAACTATGTGAATCAGCGCTGTCAGTGGTCTTGAAGTTCCACACGTTCAACTAGCTGTGTACTCAAGACCAACTCTTGCCCTCAACACATATACCACTATTCCATATCCTCACTACTACACCGGACCTCGTCGTCAAAACTGCCAAACAAAAAAGTAAAGACGAATGGACACAGCAAGACTCGAACTTGCATGTCCCGCATAACAACCACCCAGCGGAGCTGAGTCAACAAGCTTAAAGCTGGAAAAGCTTGGAGCATGTAGCTATGCTCGCCGGGCGCCCGGCAACGAACTAGAGGGTAGCTAGAGGTTGCTGGGCGGCGTGTAGCTACTGTGTGCGGGCGCTTTACCATTAGGCCATGTGTCCTGGGTGGGTTTTGATGAGAGACTGGGGAGATGTTGGGTTTGTGTAGAAGGAAAGTAGACGGCTGAGAAAGGTAGTGACTTTGCGAAATAGTTGTAATATGGTTCTTTTTACTCGTTTTTGTATTCACCGGTACATAACGCGCCTTTATTCTCAAGACACATAATATCCTCTCTGATTAGCAATTATCATAGCGCCATCACTTACATCTCGCCATCAAAAACATCAAAAACATCAAAAAGATAGAGGACTTGAACACAGTAAGACTCGAACTTACATATCCCTTACACCAACCGCCCAGCAGGACCAAGTTCGCCAGCGTTTCCGCCATCTCACCTTACCCACCAAGATGTGCATCACGAAATAGCCCAGCGCGATCAGTACCAACGGTAGCGACCCATTTCCCCAATCTCACCAGGCTTCTCGCACGCCCCAACAACCAGCCTTCTTTGTTATTCAATTCAAAGGAGTACAGAACCTCTAGGTGCCCCCAGTAGGCCCTTTACTCCGGGACGAGAAAGCTGGTGCTTGATCAGAGCTAGAAACCGGCCCCGTGCCGGAACTACGCTGGGCGGGCGTTCGCTAGGTTTTTGTGTGTGCGGGTGATGTACCGATCGGCTATGTGTTCTGTGTGGTTTGTTGATGAGGTGACGAGGAGATGGTGGATATATGTGAGGGAAGAGTGGGATGGGGTAAGTGGCGAAGGCGGTTAAACTGTACATTCTGAAATCAATCCAAGAACTCACTCTATCCCGCAAACCGAATCATAACCTACGCGTCCTCACCATACCCATCATGCTCATCGTATCATCCTCCCCCGAACCCACGCCCCAAACCCCCCCTCATCAACACTCTTACTAAACGCAATCCAAAACGCCTGTTTCTCACTCACGGGACTCGCACACCTCTCCACCATCGCTTTCACATTAACCTCCTGCAACCCTTTGATCGCCATAACCTGTTCCACCCACTCTAGATCCACGCCGCCGAAATCGCCGTTCCCACCAAGCCACTCATTCTTCATGCGGAGCATGGTGTCGAAGTCAGAGGGCGTGATGGGCGTGATGGCATCCCAGCCGTGGTCGGGTTTACCGGATATCACGTTGAGGTTTAGGGTGCGTAGGGAGATTGGGGGTATTGCCTCGGAACTATCATCGTCGGAGGGAGACGACGGTGTAGCGAGGTATTCGCATAGACTTGCCCATTCTGCGCGATCGAATTCCTTGCTGTATGGCAATGCCTTTTTGGTTACACTGATATGCCGTATAGATGCTCGGCTCCTGGGTGTCAGGTCGGAGAGGAAGGGGACGGCGGCTTCGATGCTGGTGTGGAAGGCGAAGGTGTAGGTTGAGTAGAGGATTTTGCTGGCTTCGGCGTGGATTTGCTGGTTTAGGGATAGGAGTGAGGGGACGGTGTAGCGGAGGTGCGACGTGTAGGGCGAGAGGAGGACGCGGTAGGTCGTTGGTGTTGTGGTAGTTAGGAAGGGTCCTTTGGGGTTGTTAGTATCTAATGAACAATGCCGTTCTGAGGAACAGTGTCCTAGACCATCTCTAGGTCTACCCCAAGCCTTCTGTAGACGTACCGGTTCTGATATGGTATGTACTCCTTCGTCTCCACGTCTTCGGACCTTGTGACCCTAGCCATGGATCCATGGTTCGTACGCTCAACGTACAAGCATCATTGTTCGTGTCATCTGAAAGGTACGTGTGAAAGTCCGGGATCAGGTTCGCGACTGACGTTCCGTTTCCGGTCGTGGGGGTCGTCGAGGGTAGAAGCAGGTACTCGTATATCATGAGACGGATCTCGAAAGGAAGGCGAAGTAACGGCGAGGCTGGGAGAGCGTTGGCTTGGTAGGATGATGACTCCATGGTGGAAGTTTGCCAGTTGTTGGATTTGGCACGATTCCTAAGTGTGAACGGAAAGTAAAGAAGGCGCAGAACGTGTCGAGTCGCTTCCGAATACTGTATGCTCCTCCCTTCTTGAAGTACAATCGTAGGCGTCCGTCAGCTCCTGCACTCGATCGGTGTATCGCTGCAACCAACAACACGTCTCCCCAATCTCCAGCTGACCAAACCCTCAGCCAGTTAAACGCGACAAGACACTCCCCAATCGACAAGACTCGACTCAAAAAGAAAAGACGCAGTCAATCAGCGCACAACGTCGACACAACGCAGTTTTGCTTGTGTGCCCGACAGACCATCAAGGTGTTGCGAATTGGACGCTTGGAAAACAACGCGTGCACTCGCCAAAAGATAAATTCCGGCCAGCACCATGATGACCTTGACGCATTCGCCGAGGCAGCTTTGCCGGAAGAGGTAAGATGCCAGATTGCTATCCTTGCAACGGCTTAGTCGTGGATCATGGCGCCGGTAGCGCGCCCGGGCGTAGATAGATGGATGACCGTTCCGAGACCGTTATCGTTGATATTGGCGGCGGTGAGCAATATCGGCAGCGTTGATTTGACATTTGACGCATATGCCGGTGCCTATATCGCTGTATATGATTATTGATCGCGCTCTTGGTCAATTTCTAATCTCAGTCAGGTACCTCGGTAGTCTTTGTCTGGAAAGTTCCAAAGCGCGTGCGTTGATGCAAGCAGCCATGTCTGTACACGAAGACAACGCATAACGACATCCCGCAAAATCTCTCGTCATATCGAATGAGAAAAGCCTGCTATCGCGCAAGACCCTGATAACGTGAACGCACGCCGTTCCAAGGCCGGCCGACCCGCGATCACTTGCATAAACTGCTTTCTATCGGCCCTTTCGGAAACGACTCGGAATACATGCCCTGGCCTGAGCGCAGTGTGTCATAGCGCGCGCGATAGTCAGGAGAAGAGAATTTCCCTGCTAAGGGCCCTGCAAAGTCTCCAAGTTTGCGTCAATGTTGCATGCGCGAGCAAACCTCGGGAGATGTTGAAAGAAAAAAAGTGGAGGGAGGATCGCCGGTTTCTCGGCGGCCAGGAAACGGTACGTACCTGCATCTGCTAGGCCCGACCCTGTGCCAAGCATTCGACCTAGAGTACTGTTAAGCTACGACAAACACGACACGAGTTCACCATCAAAGCCAAGAGGAAGCGCAATTCTGCGTCATGTTCAACGATATGCATTGCTCAGCTGTAGCAGCCCAACTGTGAACGCCATCGAGCTACCTAGATTTGCTCTTTGCCCCCCAAGTTCCCTAACCCATACCCTAATACAGTAGGTTTCCCTTTCTCAAAGTACCGGAGAAAAGGGAAACAAGCCAACTACAAGCAAAATCCAGAACAAAACAAGAATCTTTTTGAGTTTATCCCTCCCTTGCGGATTTACAAAACGCCTCGCGACTGAGCACGTAAGTTGACCCAATTGGATTTGTGACATGGAACCTTGGAAAAAGAGAGGATGCAAGAGGAGAGGAACAAGAGGAGAAGAAAGGAGATTGTCATAATACAAAATCTGAGGCCTATCAAGCGTATCATGGAAACATGCTTTTCGTGCCATCAGCCAACTCAAAGTGGACGTGAGAAAGAAAACAATGACCTCGTGTCGTACCAGCTCATCATGATGATATGACTAGGCCATATTTTTCTTAACAACGCGTCAAGCCTCTCAATCGTCCTGGATTTGCATAAGACGGACCCTAGTGCTGGCCGTAGTTTCCGCCCCAACCTCCGCGGTTGTAGCTGCCGCCGCCATATCCTCCGCCAAAGCCGCCGTAGTTGCCGTAGCCACTCTGCTGCTGGTGGTTGCCGGAGTTCTGGTGACCTAGACCACCGAGACCGCCGTACTGGCTGTTGCCGAGGTGGCTCGGGTAGTTGCCGTAGCCTTGCTGGGAGTGTTGGGGACCGCTCTGTCCGGGAGTGCTCTGGTTGGCAGAGCCGGGGCGACCAGGCTGAGCACCAAGAGCCGCTGGGCTGGGTCCACCGCTCTTGTAGTCGTTGGAGGGCTTCAGAGCGTCATCGTTGAACCCTTGGCTACCCTGCTGTCCGTAGGAACTCTGGTGGAAGTTTCCTGGTCGGGTAATGGTATCGGGAATGGCACCGAACGCAGCAGCGCCGGCAGTGGCGCTGGGGTTCTGAGAAGCTCCAGAGGCTGAGCGACCGTAGTCGCCGAAGCCTGCGCCCATACCGCTACCGCGATCATGCAAAGAGGAAGCGCCGAAGCCGCCTGCATTGGCGGGGGACGACGAGTGCTGGTCGAATGAAGCCTGAGGAGACATGCCGTAGTGAGGCTGGTTGTACATGCCACCCTTTCCAAACGAACCATAGCCGGCTCCTCCCTGACCGTAACCACCGAATTGGTTCACGTAGTTAGCGTAGTAGGGGCTGCCATAGTACGGGTGACTGTATGGGTAGCCTGCGTTGTGCGCGTTGTGCGCATGTTGGCCTTGAGCGGCATGACCTTGTTGGCCAGCCATGGCGGCGGGGTTGGGAGTGTTGTGTCCGCTGTTCTGAGCATCGCCGTAACGGCTCTGGGTCTACAATTCTGTCAGTATACAATGCGAGAAGATGTAGAGTTCTGTCTTAGCTGCTGTCCTTACTCTGCCCGTGTCATGTGCCATCTCTGCCCAGAGTTTCTCATTCACATGAGATGGTTCAGATTGGTCGGCATGATTATCGGTTTTGAGTTTGGCGAGCTGTTTCAGACCTTTAGAGAGTGCACTCACCTGTGGGATTTGGCTCTGCGAATAAGCAGAGTCAGTAGGTCCAGAGCCAAAGGCACTGCCAGTGCGCTGCTGAGCAGAACCGGCTTCCTGCTGGCTTTGTGCGATGGGCTGACCGTAGCTTCCATAGTAGTTCTGGTATTGCGCGCGTTGTTCGGCAGTGAGGTAGTTGGAGGGGTAACCGTCTGGGGCAGACGAGAAGGCACCAGGCTGGGACGGGGCCTGGCTTTGTTGGCCGGGGTAGTCGTAGTTTTGCGATTGCGAGTGGTTCGACTGCGGGATCTGCTGGCCGAATGGATCGTATGGCTTCTGCGGTGGGGCGGAGGCCTCTGATTGACCATACCTAGCAAACTGGTTGTATGGCTGGTTCGACTGAGATCCTTGATTCTGCATAGCCTGGGATGCAAGCGGGTTCGACGGAGACTGCTGCAGACCGGGCTGATGTTGGGGCACAGGAGGCAGTCCAGGGGCCTGCTTTGGTGTAGGAGCGGCCTCCTGTTGGGGAGCATCTTGAGATGCTTGGCGGGGAGCGGGAGGTAGAGAAGCCCTGGGCTGCGCGACGGGAGAGTGCTGGGGCGGCTGTGTCCTCGTCTCCGCCTCTTCCCTGTCTTCGTCGACATCTGGATCCGAGCCGTCGCCCAATCCCATGCTACCGAATTGGACTGCTGCCCTGTCCACGGCGCGGTCTCCGGGCATGACCACGGGCTCCTGCTGCTCCATCAACCTCCTCTGGTAGCTTGCGCTTCGGTTCGGGGTTCCAGAAGTCGCCTTTAGTGCGGTCGTTTGGAATCCTCCAATAGCGGGGCGACCGATGGGTGCCTGTGTAGGACCGTTCAAGGGGGTCGCGACAGCACTTCCAACATCCTTCGAGCTTGCGACAGTGCTGAAAGCTGTCTCCGTCTTGGGTGGGATGGACGTATCAGGCAGGTGCTCAACATTCTCTTGCGTAAGTTGATCTCCGGAGGGTGTGAGGGTGACGTCAGGGGCACCATCCACACTCTTGTCCGGCGTCATTTTGGACGTATCTTCGGCGGTGATGGGCGGTGTCTGGACAGCCTCATCTGCAACAGGGGGTATAGGCAGTTCCTCTGCTTGCACGGCGGGCTCTTGGGCAACTTGGTGCGCGGGCGTCTCGTCGGGTACTTGTGAGGGTACTTCGGGGGCAGCGGCGGCGGCGGGCTTCGGAGCTGCCTTGGGGACTGCGGGGACGGGCTTGGGTGCAGCAAACATGCTCGCCCAAGTCTTCTTCGCGGCTGTCATGGTAGCCTCTACGACAGGCTTTATGGCTTCGGGGGTCGCTTCAGGCGCGTGTACGGTCTCGTCGTCCTGTTTGGTCTCCTTGGGCTCTTCGGGCACTGTGGGCGTGTCCCATGCAGCGGACTCGGTAGTCGGGACTGATCCAGCAGCCGTACGAGGTCCACCGGCGGCGCCTCCACGACCGCCACGAATTCCACCGCGACCACGATCAGTGCCTCGTCCGCCACGGCCGCCGCGACCGCTGTCGACTCCACGACGGGCTCCGTCGGGCCGGCCACGCAGGCTGGACGCGCCATCGAGGGGGACGTTCTCCTTGGCCTTGGAGCGGGACCTGTCCTTTGCTTTCTTTGGGACTTCTGAGAATTGTGAGACGGCGCCTGCAGTGGTTAGTAATGTAATCACGTGCGTGTGGATCGTAGATGCAGTCGCTTACCCTCACTGATCTTCTCGATGGTGGTCTGCAGGTCGCCGTCAGATTCTTCGATTGCGAGGACGAGATCGGCGTCGGTCCAGTCGGGGAATAGCTCCTTCAGTGTGGATAGCTGTGACTGGTAGCGCTTCTTAAGCTCGCCCAGTTCGCCCTGGTCTGCCGATGTGTCAATGTTGGAGGACGCGCTGTCGCCGTTGGTCTTTCTGGGGCCCCGGGAGCCGTATGCTGCCCTGCCGCCGCGGGCAGAGCTCCTGCCTCGCGCAGGCCGAGTTTGTGCTTCAGACATTGGATGTGTGTGGTGTGTGGGCAAGCCGCGGGGGACTTATTGGGTGTGTGTGTATGTGGGCGGATTGGTGGGCAGGCGAGGTGATGATGTAGAGGGAAGGTAAAGTTGGGGAACAGCTAGAGGAAGCGACCACGTCGGCTTGGCGCTAGAGCTTCCAATGGCTGAGGACGCGGCAGGGTCGCGTTGACTGGGGCTGGAGCAGGCGGGCGGGTGTGCAGATGCGAGGGGAGGGCTGAAGGGCAATTGATCTACGAATAGCAAGAGTGCCTGTCCCAGCCTGCCGTGATGCGCGCGTTAACCTGTCACGTGCGCTCCCGTCGGGCCTGGTCCACTCTCGTCATCGCCTCACTCCACCACCCGACCGATCAGACGCCGCCCCCGACTGCGACACCAACACGCAGCCATGCAGTCTTCCGCAAGCAAACGCGTACTGAGCACCCTCGCCTCCAAGATCCACCCGCAGCTGCCCCTCACCCCGCGCGAGAGTCAGCAGCTCCTCTCGCTGCTGACCAACTCCTTCCGTGCCCACCTCGACCACGCCCACCCCCTCGCACCTGCCGAGAGCAACCCGAAGAAATCCACGCGAGAGTTGACCATCAGCTATGGCCAGCGCAATCCCTCCGCGAACCGCGCGACGTCCTCGTATGACTCAGCGACCCAGCACATCGACTCCATCTTGACCAACCCTCTGTTTGCGGTCAAACCCCGTCGGAGAGGCTCAAGGTCTGCTGCTAGCGACATACTGAGAGAGCCCATCGTCTGGTTTGTCGATGAGATAGCTGCCGGTTCTGCCACTCTACCAAAGGCAGCCATGTGCCTCGAGCTCCTCGAGAAGACCACGGGCCAAACCTCGTCACTCAAGGATGGCAGATCATCCGCCGCTGTACTCGCCGAATGGCTTCGAATTAGCGGTTCGGACACCTCGAAGCAATTCCTGGACATGTCCATCCTGAAAACCGGACGAGGCAGTAAATTCCTAGACAAGCTGGTGGCTCTGTTCGTGGCTGAAGGCGAGACCACCGCGCTCTGGCGCTGGTTCATCCGGCCAAACGAACAACGCGTCAAGGAGACTGGACTGGACGTGGCACGGATAGCGACTTTCAGACAACAACTACTGGCCAAGATGGTTGTATTCGCGGCGGACAACAGCTTAGCGAGCGGTCTGGCTATGTTCATGCAGGCCTTCCGCCTTGTAGAGAATGCCGGACACGAAGCAGCTTTTGATGTTCTAAGATCCGCGGGTGGCCACTTGGTGAACCGGATCATCTCCAATACAGATAACATGCTCGAACCCGAGTTGTACCAGTCATTCCTGTTGTCAACGCCACGCTGGCTTGGGGAGTGGAGTCCAGCAGTCGAGTCAATGCTCTGGCTACATCACCCTTCGACGCCCAGCACGGGACCTGGACTTCATTTCGTCCAGAATCCTGCCGGCGCCATCAGATTCGTTGAAGCATCCCGGAGTCGACGGAATTTCCTTGTACAGCTCTGCTTAGGGACCGCCCGGCAGCTGATGGAACAAGAGAATTTCGCGGAGGCGCAGATCGTGATGCAGTTCACAAAAGACCACTTCGCTGATGTTGTTCTACCGAAAGAAGCAGTCATTGAGCAGCCAAAGGAAGAATCATGGAAAGCACGCAGAGAACAGGACAATCTGCGGTTGTTGGACCGCCTGGTCCTGACTTGACCAATCTCTTCATTCCATCAATTGTAAATAGCCGCGACTGGCTCGCAGGTATTCTTGGGCGCGCAACCCGAAGATTCCATGATTACTTATGTTTGTAAAGAGGCCCTATGGTAGTGCACCGGGGTCTGGTCTGGGCGTGCGGGGGAACGCCTACAACTCGCGTCATATCACGCGAACACTATCTCACGATCACAATGATCTGCAAACATGCGAAGACATGATGTAATAAATCTCATGATCGATTCATTTCCATGAGCTGATCTAAATAAGTCTCTTGTTGACTATTGGTATCGCTAAAAACAAAATATCGAAATATGCCGTATCATCGTGATCTCATCGTCCCGCTCTATGCCTTGAGCTCACCACCGTCGGTCTCCTCTGGCCAGACATCGTAGCCGAAGGTGTCCTTCATGTTGACGAAACGAGTGTGTCGTCCCTTGGCAACCTCCTCAACGGCGTCGAAGTCGGCCTTGCTCAGCTCGGGAATAAGCCAGTTGCTCTCAATGCGCTTGGGGGTGGAGCTCTTGGGCAAAACAACGTAGCCGCGCTGGAGACCCCAAGCAAGCAGAACTTGCGCAAGGTCGTGGCCGCTTCGCTCGGCAACTTCGTTGAGCTTGGAGTTGGTGCGGACCTTCTCGCCGGTGCTGGGGACCTGGTTCTGGGAGCCGAGCGGCGAGTAGGCGGCGACGAGAATGTCGTTTTCCTGGCAGTACTTGACGAGCTCGGTGTTGGGGAGGAAGGGGTGGACTTCGATCTGGTTGATCATAGGCTTGACCTTGGCGATGCTGAGCAGCTTCTTCAGGCCGGGGATGGTCCAGTTGGAAACTCCGATGGCCTTGGCCTTGCCCGAGTTGTAAATCTCCTCCATGGCGCGCCATGTTGGCTCCGGGTTCTCGGTGAGGTCCTTCTTGATGATGTATTTGCCGTCGGCGCCCAGCTTGGGCATGTGGTTGTCGTCACTCTCCGCGGCAATGGGCCAGTGGACGAGGAACGCGTCGATGTAGTCGACGCCCAGGTTCTTCAGCGAAGACTCAAAACTCCACTTGACCTCCGCGGGCTCGTGCAGGTGGTTCCATACTTTTGTGACGATGAAAAGGTCCTCGCGCTTGACGTTGGTGTTTTCCTTGAGGAAGTCGCGGACGGCCTCGCCAACTTCGCCCTCGTTCTGGTAGAACCATGCGCAGTCGAGATGGCGGTAGCCGGTCTTGAGCGCGGTCATCACGGCGGCGTAGGTCTCGCCCGATGCGCCCTCGCTGGCGAAGGTGCCGAATCCGACGGCTGACATGATGACGCCATTGGAAAGCTTGAACGTCTTCTCGTTCTGGAGGGGAGCCATATTTGCGGTGTATGCGGTTTTTGAAGTTTGAAAATGTATCTTGAGAATGTAGAGTAAAAAGGGAAGTGGTCAAGTAAGTTTTGAGATGATTTATTCAGCGGCAACAGCGCGTGCTGGGACTGTGAAGCTACATATATCCAGCGTAACCTTGGTTGGTCTGAAATCTCTTCGCTCTTTCATCATCGCCCATCTGCTCGGACAGTCCCCAACCACGCAGCCGGCCGTGACCTCAGACCGAGAGATTCCGATCGCAGAAGCATCTCGCAGGCATCGGTCCCATTGCGAAAAAACTCCATAATAGTCCCATCCAACAGTTTCACGTAGACCCTCAGAGTAGGCCGTCAGCAGCAGCGATGACGTCGACGGTGGACTCAGGGTCCACAGCACGGGCCGAGCGCTGCCATTTTGATTGCTGGCGCGGAAGTTTTGCCGACCTGAGCTTCGTACAGGTGAAAATGTGGAACGATGTAGTCCCAATAGTCGTGCGGCTCTGCCGTTGTCAGCCACTCGTTTAAGCAGATCACTAGCTGCCTTCGCCCTAATTCGGCGACCCGCGGTTACCTCGCCCCACCCATCCTTCGTCACTCCCACATGCTGCTGCAAGTACCGCCGCGACTGTCTGCACGCTGCCTGCACCATCTACACTCTGCTACACTCGCTTCTACGGATTCCCACATGTCGCATACTTGGTGTATGCACGCCAACCGCCTTTGACAGGCGGTGTACCGTGCCTTATCTTCCGGCCGCGCTCTGCCTCCGGTCAAATGAGGCTCTGCGCTAAGCTTTCACGGCTTCGGCCAAGGGTATACAACGCGCATTCCAGGTGTTGTGGCGACTCACAGCACTACGCTGCTATCGGTCCCCAGTTTTCGGCGATAATACGGCGGTGACGGTATCCAGTTCTCATTCTCTGGTTCAGCAAACTTCTCCACTAGTGCTGCTATGCACGGCCACTACAGCAGTGTAATGATGTCGCGCTGTGGGTACAGAGGTACTTGTTGAACGCTCACAGTGCCAGAACGTGGTTGGTGTCACCGGCCTGAATCGGGATAGCGAAAAGCTCCTGCGAAACTTTCCAGAAGAGATTGGCGAATGATGATGGCATCTGGGGTTCATGGACGTCGCTGCCTGTCACTGTGACGAGTGATGTGATATATAGCCCCTCCCCCAGAAGACCCTGAGACTGCTCTTTCATCATCACAACTCCACTTCTTCAGCATCACATTCAGCTTCTGAGAAGACTGACACTACTACTTTCTTCACTCGATACCCCATTCTTATCCCAACTTCAACCACCATCATCATGTCTCCCTCCGCTGTTGAGAACGAGGCTCAGACTACCTCCAACAAGGCTCCTGAGCTTCCCATCCCAGCTGACCCTCAACAAGATGGCACCGACAACACCGTCGAGGTCCCAGCGACCCGAAGTGCCATGGCCGACACCACTGGCTACATGCACAACCTCTCCCTCTCGCCTTCCATGAAGGAGAGGAGAGGATCCCGCAACTCCTTCGGTACCTCACTGCCTATCCCCCGTTCCAAGAGGCAGTCGAGGCTCTCGTCCGTTCACTACCCCGATGGCCGTGGTGCCGCTGTCCGCCCTGGCATGCCCCCGATCCAGCCATCTCGCGACATCATCGCTGCCCAGCTCCAAGATCTCGCTGGCGAGAAGGTCCGCGCCGCCAAGGACATGGCTTTCGTCTTCGACATTGACGGTGTCCTCGTCCACGGTGACCGTCTGATCCCCGAGGGACAGCGCGTCCTCGAGATCCTGAACGGAGACAACGAGCTCGGCATCAAGATCCCCCACATCTTCCTTACCAACGGTTCCGGTAAGCCCGAGCAGGCTCGTGTCGACCAGCTCTCCAAGATCCTCCACAACCCCATCTCGACCGAGCAGTTCATCCAGTCGCACACTCCCATGCGTGCTTTGGCCGAATACTACAAGACCGTCCTCGTTGTCGGTGGTGAGGGCTACAAGTGCCGTGAGGTTGCCGAGCAGTATGGCTTCCAAGACATTGTCGTCCCCAACGACATCATCGCCTGGGACCCCACCATCGCCCCCTACCGTGTCTTCACCGACGAGGAGCGCAAGACTTCCCGCCCCCGCGACTTCAGCAAGGTCAACATCGAGGCCATCATGGTCTTCTCCGACAGCCGTGACTACGCCACCGACATCCAGATCATCATGGATCTCCTCCAGTCCGAGAACGGCAAGTTCGGAACCCGCGCCAAGGACCCCGTCTCCCAGCGCATTCCCATCTACTTCTCCCAGGGCGACATGCTGTGCCCCACCGAGCACCCCTTCCCCCGCATGTCCCAGGGTGCCTTCCGCATTGGTCTCGAGGCCATGTACAAGTCGCTCACCGGCGTCGAACTCGAGCGTGTCGTCTACGGCAAGCCCGAACTGGCTACTTACAAGTACGCCGACGAGGTCATCGCCTCCTGGATGGAGACCATCCACAACGACGAGAAGCTGCCCGCCAACATCTACATGATCGGTGACAACCCCGCTTCCGACATCGTCGGTGGTAACATGTACGGCTGGAACACTTGCCTTGTCCGCACCGGTGTCTTCCAGGGTGGTGACAACGACGAGCAGAACCCTGCTTCCTTCGGTGTCTTCAAGAACGTCTTCGAGGCTGTTACCACCGCTATGAAGAAGGAGCTCGGCGAGGACTTCAAGTTCAAGTTTGACGACAAGATGAACCCTGTCAACCTTGAGGGTGGCCAGTCTGCCATTGCTTAAGTGGTTTGATTGGATAAGAGTTTGTTGTACATAAGCATTTTCCTGGCGTTTCTTCATTTTTTTTTTTCGGGATTATATCCTTGCATAGCGAAGCTTGCAAATCACCTTTATAGATCAAACGAGTTTACTATACAACTGGGTCTACGGATTCTGGGTTTTCGGTTTTTTATATAGATTACGATGAATTCTAAAAGTCTTCTACCTCTTACACCGTTCTTCCCACAGCATGTTTCAATGTGAGGACTTCGCTTATCTGCAACATCGTATTTCATCGACCACCTCTTGGTCGCTTGTTCTCAGCACCAAACTCATCGCTCTGCGACGTCTCTCATACTCAAGAAAGACTACTCATCATCATCCTCATCCCCAAACCCCACCAACGCCCGCCTCAGCCTGACCTCCCTCCCCACCCCATCAACCTCCCACATAGCCTTACACTCATACCGCCCCTCCAGCCTAACCCAAACATCCCTCAACAAATACCTCGCAAGCATCCTACTCTGATACAGCACGAACCTCTCATTTGTAGGACTGATTTCATCTTCTTCCTCTACATCTTTCTTCTGCGGACGAGGACTGGCTAAGATAATCTTGCGGGGTGATGTGGCGAGCTGAGTCGCTTCAGATAAGGATGACAATTGGAGGGAGAGACATGGGTCTTCAGTCCCGATGGGTACAAAAGTATCCCAAGCCGGTACACCATCGACGATCGGAGTCGAGCCTGCTACGGGTGAAGCATAAATGTCGTACCATAGTCCTGTTGCGCCGATCATGGCTTTGACGTAGAGGGTCCAGGAGAGGGAGAAGCCTAGGTTGCGGTAGGAGCCTGCCTGTTGTGTTTGTTAGTCATGTCTGTATTCTCGTTGTAGTTGTAGTTGTAGTCGTAGTTGTCACACTGTTTCAACGTGGGTGTGTGTAGGGCGGACTTACGATGACGGTATTCCCTTTCCTTCTGATCACAAAGATACTCCCTGCTTTGTTCCTCTCTACTTCCCGTCTGTACACGAACTCCTCCACCCGCGGATCTAGGAACGCTTCTACACATTCTTTACCCGTGTGACTGAGGATCGTTGCAACGGCGTCGCTGAGACGCGGGTACGCGGTTCCGACCAGCGGGTCTTGAGTGTGGAAATAAGCTTCCAGGTCGATGACGTGAGGAGCGCGGACGGATTCTCTGCTCTGATTGTGGTGGAAGTACTGGGAGCCGGGCAAGAAGACAGAGGTCATGACTTTGTCGCAAATGTCGCCGGCAGGGTTGGAGTAGTATGTGTTTTGCAGTTCTTCCAGTCTGTCTCGCAGGGCTTCTTCTTCGCGGAGGAGGGCTTCTGAAGCGCGTTTTGTTGGGGAGGAGGGGATGAAGGATGTCAGTGTGGCACTGAAGCGGGATAGAGTGCTGGTGTTTGTCGACTTTTCCGGACTGTGTTGGCTGGGTTCTTTGAAGGTCGCTTTGAAAGTGGAGGAGATGTGGCTGGCGTCCAACTCGGCCCATTCATCGTCGTCGGGTTCCCAGAGGGGTTTACCCTTGAATGGCGAGAGGTCGCGCATACTGGTAGGCATGGCGTTAGCGGTGTCGGGTTGGTGTGTGGGAGGTTGTGTGGGGAGGTGTGGGCTAGAAGAGAAATGCGAGTTGAGGGAGAGTGTCGAGCTACTTGGGGAGCTGTCGAAGTCTTCTTGAGCAAACAGTGGTGCGATTTCGGAGCCGTGCTTCGTTTGCGCCTCTCCGACGTCGAGATAAGATGATGGAGGCGGTGACTTTGCGGCTTGCTTTGGAATCTGATCCGCCCAACTGATTGTTCGAATGCGTCTTGAGGTAGGTCGTGGCGATGACATTTTCGGTGAACTCGGAGCGGTCTTGCTCATCTTGGAAGCCTTGTATTTCCGACGCTCAAACTCATGGCCTTTTGCACTGATGCTGTCTTCACTACGAGCGCGTAACAGCGCATTTCCTCCAGCGATTTTGGAAGGTGAGCCAGAGTGAAAGATCGATGTTAGCCCCGGAAGCATGTTCATAGAACTCCCCACCACACAGTACGAGGAGCCTGACGATGACAGATCGGTCGAGTCTACAGCTACTGACTGGTGGTCTTTAGCTCCATCTTCTTTACGGTCTGCCGTGTTACGACGTAACAAATAGCTGAAGAAGCCTCCACTTTGACTATTGCTCAGCGAACGCGGTAGAGTTGTCCTTGAAGATGATCTCGAAAAACCGAAGAGGCCTGATCCGAAGATGGACTTAGGTGAGCTTGGAGGAGGTGTCACCGATACTGACGATTGCGAACTTCCCGGTACCCTAACGCGTGGGTAATCTAGGTCTAAAGGCTTGGGTGGTATCATGCAAGCCTGTGCTGTTACGGGTGGGGATGGTACAGGTGTAATGGTCTTCGTGTGCTGTAACGTGGGTCGTACAGGAGCCTCCGGGCCTGACCTTGCGAGTAGATCACGTAGCCTTCCTGCTGCGTCGCTATCCTGCATGATGGCGATCAAAGAGTACGGAGATAGCCAGAAGCTGAGCAAGTTGGTTGTGTTGAGGGTGGAGCGTTTGCTGTATTCGTAGGGACAAGGGGAATGAGAAAGAGCAACAGTAAGAGTCAATGCTCGATTGGACCTCCGTCACAAGAGCGGCGGTAGGATGTAGAGGATTCACACTCGCTTCAACCATGTCTCTTGCGACTTCAGTGAATGGCCTCACATAAATGACAGTCAAGGCAGTAGGGCATCACAGCAAGCTAGTGCCGTTGCAGTGACGAGAGTATGCGAGACGGGAAGTGCTCTGGCGTTAACAATGAACATTACACAGCCGTGCGGATAGAGTTGCTCAACCTAAGACCATGTAAGTATATGTTCGTAAAGCTGACAGATGATTCCATTAACGTCGTTCCGTGATGTCGCGTATCATCCAAAGTGGTTATCAGTTGAATCATAGCGAAAGCATGCGAATGGCTCGAGCGTCAGCAGGAACATAACCCGGCGAAACGCTCACAGGACGTGCCTAGAGCCAAGTCAGTCCTGATTCAACAACCCAAGCGTCCCTATGAAGTCCTAAAAACCGCCGTCACACATGTCACATCCATCCACGCGATGCTCGTTGGGAGTTGGTAGATTTTCGATTCATTCAGGGAGAGAACCCAGACTCTTGATATGTCGTCGTAATCGTAGGTCTCCACAGATCCATCATCTCCACCCCCCTCCTTCGCAGCGCTGCAAGAGCAACTACCACGCCATCATATTGTCCATACTCGTGAAGTCCGTATAGATGCCCATAGCTTTCGCAAAGAACTCCGGTAACCGAATAGAAAATGCCGCTTTCCCTTTTCCCCCGAGAGTTTGCTTGCGCTTATCGCAGACGCCTGGCCTCACGCTCGGACTCGAGCAGGCAGAGAATGTCGTTCTCGCGGACTGTCATGTCTCCGTTAGTATGCGGGGGTTTCGTTCAGCTGGCAGGTAGAGCGTGCGTACCTGGGCCCTTGACGTTGCGGATGATGGAACGGGTCTGGTCGTTCATGAACTCGACGCGGCATTGGGTGACACCACCACGGGAGCCTGTTATCATCCGTCAGCCTGCCATTTTCTCACGATGTGCATCCCCCAACTGTTGTATGCGCTCGTCCCCAGAAAATTTCGGGGTCTTCGGAAAGTTCGCGTACCGGTTCGGCCAAGGACACGGGTGACCTTGACGAGGTTGACGGGGGCCTTAGCAGAGTCCATTTTGTGCGGTTGTGAAGTTCGACGGGAGTCGGTCGTTCGGTGTGCGGAAGAGCTGGGTTGGGCGTTCGGAGATGGAGTTGTCGCTGGCGATGCGTGAGGGCTGGTGCGAACCGTGGGCAATTTTGCAAAGTGCGCTAGCTAGGCGAGCAGGGATGTGGCGCGCTAGTGCCCCGTCCATTCACTTGGGCGTGCAGCCAACACCACCATCAACACCCAGAGCATCACGATTTGAGTAATTCATTCAGAATTTTGGACAACTGCGAGCATTATGAAAGAGCTATGATTTGTGGCGCGACTTGCAAAGACGTGATCGTCGCAACACCAAGTGCCCACGCAATCATCACACACATCTCACAATGCACCAAGGACAGCAGTACTCAACGACATTTTCAATTCCATCTATCTAGTAAAGAAGCGCCAAATCGCTCAGAGGGGTATAAAGCGCCTTCCAACGCCTTGGGAAGTACCCGACCCTCCGTAGCTCTTCCAGCCATGCCCACCCACGTCCGAACTAGTCATACCGAGGATCGGCTTCCATGTAAACAAGCTTGCAAAACCTCAAATCCCTAAATGAAGGTGTGGAAGGATCTGAGGCAAGCCATATCATCAGCTGTTACCTACATGGCCGCAAACCTTCTCCTCAGCGGCGGAGGCGTAAACTGCGAACCGGGCTTCCTCGTGGCCTTCACAACCTTCGTAACGGTATGCTTGACCGTGTCACAATCGACTTCGGTCTCGGTCGCAGTGGTGGTCGAAGTGAAGACGTTTGCAACCTTAGTAACAATGGAAGGCTCGGGGGCGACGGTGGAAGACTGGGAGGTGACGATAGACGGCTCAGGCCAGGTGAAAGGCTCAGGGGCCGCAGCACGGCGGCCGATCGGAGGAAGATTCCATATATCATGGCAGTAGCCGAAGGAAGGGAGACAGCCGGGGTTGCAGTGAGCGGCTGTGTCGCCGCAGTAGCCGTAGGGACTGCAGCAGGGGCCTTTCGGAGAGCCGTTGCAGGTGAAGCCAGTTGTGCCGCCGCCTGTCAGAATGTGTTTAGTGATGTTTTCATGATGAGAAAGGCGGGTGAAAGACTTACATTGACCATTTGGAGAGATGATCATGCCATTGGGAGCGATGACAGGAGGCTGGACGACAGGAGGCTGTACAACCGGTGCAGGAATGGCCTGGTGGACGGAACCAACAGCCTTTGGTTCCTTGCCAAAGAACGTCTGGACTCCTGGGCCGTCGGTACCTGTGATTGATTGTCAGTAATTGTCCGAACGTTCAAGGAGGCCAGTAGACTTACAAGTCTCGACAAAGATATCAGCACCAGCCCAGCACATGAGGCTTGGCTCATTCGCGAACCCGCCTGGGCTAAGATAAGTGTTCACACACTTCTCCTCATTGCAGTACGCAGTGGGGCAGGTTTTCTTGTTGGGTACTGGGTTGATGTAGAGTTTCACACCACCTCGAATGAGTGCTGAAAGTACCGTTAGTCTACATGTCCTCTCTCCATCAAGGGGAAATACATACGACAATACCTCGGGTTTGCCGGCCCAGCATGCAGATCACAATCCACAGCACTGAGGTCATACCACATCTTTCCCTTGGATTCCTCAAGATTGTACTCGACCTGAATGATGCCTGCAGGCCCAGGGGTGTAGTAATCCAGATCCCTGATCTTCAACGAGAGACCGCCGCCGAATCTCTCCGTGTCGACCATGGGGTGAATGACGGAGCCGCCGTTGCCGGGTACCATGCTGCGGAAGGAGTCGCCGCCATCGATGTGCGAGGCTGGGGGGCCGACGGCCCAGAAGTAGACGTTGTACGGGCAGTGGTTGATGAATTTGACGTATTTGGCTGACGTCCCGAGGAAGGTGACGCTCAGGAGCGTCGCGAGGATGAAGAGGGTAAACTTCATGGTTGGGATGTCTCGTGGATGAGATAGGGTGAGATGAAATGAGGTAGGAGGCTCTGAGAAGAGCAAATTGGGAGCAAATCCCAATGAGCTTGAGGATGAACGAGATGAGAGCTTTACAGGAGAGAGGAAAGGGACATGTGTGGTTTTATGGAAGAGCGATTCACCCTTATTTTCTGGCCATCTTCTTCGTTGGGCCCTTCTCAGGGTCTTATTGTAATGAAGGGACGTTTGGAGAGCATCCATTACGGCTTCACGAGATGCTGGAGGTGTGTTGATCGGGTTTCTCCGGAGGGGTAGGAACGAACACCACGTGCGTTCACTCTTGCTTGGGTATTGTATGGAGTCCCAGACACTTCGTGCTCGCAATCAAACAGATAGTTTCGAAGTTCACGACCTCATCTCTTCGCATGCTCTTCTGAGTCTGGAATACAGTATCTTCAATCTTATTCTCCTCACGCAGGCATAGAGCATGTTGCCGTCTGGGTGGTATATTGGAAGTCGCAGTCGCGGAACAGACCCGTTGTCGTTGGGAAGATGTACTGGTAATGTGCGTTCAACAGGGCTCACTGGTAGTCCCTGGTACCAAACTACAAAGGCCGCTTCAGCACAACGGGAAGAACCCTATGCAAGGAGGAAAAGGAAGAGGTTTACTGTAGTCTACGTTAGCATAAAATCAGGCGTTTGTACAATCCTAAGAGCAATGTAGACTTTTGGGACATGTGTTCAAACCAACGCCATTTCAATTTTTTCGATGTCTTCCTATCTATTGGGTATCATGTGTTGCTGCCAAGGCAATTTGAGGTGGCATCTCATACAAGGAAGAAACTAGACAGGCCTGAAGCCTACATTAGGACAATAATGAGCAAAAGAGATAACCTAAGGTCAATGTAGACCTCGCGATATTTTTCCCCTTCAGTGGGACGAAGAAAACGTGCTTGCAATACTGATAATCAAGCCCCAATTTTGTCAACTCCGTCGCAATGCCGTACCGTGTAAATGCATACTTGAATGAAAGAAATAAGACGGTACAAAATAATAATAATCAAGCTTGCGGAATCCTGGAGCGGTCGCCGCCCTTGGCGATCCATTCCTCCTTGATGAGCTTGTCCTGCTCCAAGTGCATAAGCTTGTAGGCTGTGCGGATCGTTCCGTCGCTGACCTCGACAGCCAAACCGATCTCTTTTGGCGATTTGGGCTGACCCATGAGGTGGGAGACGAGGTAGAGACAGGCGCCGGCGATGGAGAGGGGGGAGCGTCCGGCTGCAACTCCGTAGTGGGCGACCTGATCCGCGCACTCTTCTGCGACCATCTGGACTTGGGTTCCGAGGGCGAGTTTGGCGCAGGCACGGGGCATAAGACTCGCGGCGCTGGTGGCTGTGGTACCTCCTTTCTGGTTGAGAAGGTTGACAGTGTCGATGACGGCACCATTTCCTGCAACTGATGGCCCGTTATTCTGGGACTTTTGTATAAAGGCCTCGAGCACCTTGAACGTACGGCCAACTTCCTTCTTGCTCACGTTGGTCATCTTGAAGATCTCGCGGAAACTGCGCTGCTGGTCGTGCTTTCTGCAGGCTATGAAGATGCACCCGGCGATGATAGCGTCTTGCGATTTGCCCTTGAAGAGTTTTGCGTCGTCGGTCATCTTGAACAGCATCTTGGCCGTCTCAGCGGTCGGGCGGCTGATGTTCTGTGAATCGCAGAGCGCTGAGATCTGTCCATACGCGGCCTGCAGCGCCTTGTTGACCTTGTCGTGGTTGGTCTTGTTAAGCGCGCGGCTCAAGTCCCTAGACCTCATACCGCCGTCACCGAAACTGATCTCAGTCTGCAGCTGAGAGCCGTGTAGCAGGGGGTTCGCGGCGTCTCCGATACGAGAGGGGTCGTCGTTTCCTTGATCTAGATACAGGACGCAGTGTTAGCATGAGTGTCACTTGCATTTCCTCCAAGCAGGCAAGTACTTGCCGTCGTTGGAAAAGGTGCGCCACTCGGAACGCGTGTCTATAGTCCTTTCTGCGAGTACGCGACCGCAAGAACCGCAGATGGTGTCGCCAGCGCTGAACTCTTCGACCAGATTGGGAGGGTTTTCTTTGCAGTCGGGGCAGATCATGGCAACGTTCAGGTCTTCCTGCCATTCGTCTTCTTTCACGAGTGTGGGTGCGGCTTCATACACCTCGCCAGGCGACAGCAGACGGCCATCGGGGGCGTACGACATCTTCGAGCAGTTGCGGACGGGCTATAGAGTGTATTTCGTTATCTAGCTATTGCGCGCGGTCGACCGACACACTTGTAGGCTGCGTCCGGGCTGGAGCAGGATGAGCGAGTGCGGTGGTATGAGACAGGCTGCGAGACTGAAGGAAAGTCTGCGACGACAAACTTGTAGTTCGGCGCGCAGGCAGCCATTGCTGGGCTTGGCACACCGCTAAGCCGTTTCGGGTGGCGGCTCAAGCTGCGGCGGTCCACGGTTTTTCCCCAACATCGACCTTCACTGTAGCTCCCATTGCCAGCTTCCCCACGTCACTACACCTACACAATGATCGCGCAATCCATCAGGGCCTCGGTACGCTCCTACTGCTGGTGGAATCTGGACACGTACTGACCTGCCACAGCGCCAGGCGCTCGTCCGCGTTGCCCGGCAGCAACCCGCCTTTGTCGCTCGCCGCACTTTCATCACTCCCTCGGCCGTCCGATCAGGTGATTCATCCCGAATGCTTGAAGACGCGACAGTACTGACCCAATTGGTGCCGTAGCCGACCTAGTGCAGGACCTCTACCTCCGCGAGCTCAAGGCCTACAAGGTCCCCGAAGTCAAGGCATCTGATGCTGAGGCCCACGTCCAGAAGTTCACCGTCCCCAAGGCCCCCGCATCCCCCGAGGAGACCGACATTGCGAACGAGTTGAAATCATACGAGACACAGGCAGTTGACGTTGAGGGCGCTCAGGGCGAGGACGACGCTGTGCTCCCGCAAGAGGACTGGTTCGAGGAGGAGGACGAGAGCATTACCACCGCCGGTGCCACCCATTAGAGGAGCGTTGCTGGGTGAGGGAGATCATGTATCAAAACACTAGCGACTGTGTCAATACCATTGAGCGATGAA